TCCTTACCAAGGCTAACTCATGGCTTGATCTCATTACATCCCATCTCCTCCAATAGATTGCCCTCTCTGGCATCCTCATTCTCTCACTTGTTTTCAATCTCTCCCTCTCTACTGGCTCATTTTCTCCTGCCTATACACATGCCCATGTCTTGCTTATGTTAAAAAAAAACCCCTCACTTGAGCCTCCTGTCCCTGATAAAAATCATCCTATATCTCTTTCACTCTTTGTAGCTAAACTCCTCAAAAAGGCCATCTATAATAGATGCTTCCACTTTCTCTCCTCTCATTTCCTTCTTAACCTTACAATCCAGTTTCTGACCTTATCATTCCACTGAAAATGTTCTCTCCAAAGTTATCAGTGATGAATTAGTTGCCAAATCCAAGGGCCTCTTCTCAATCCTAGTCCTCCTAGACCTCTCTGCAACCTTTGACACTGGTGATTATCTTCTCCTTGAAACTTTCTTCTCTAGTTTGAAGGATGCCACACTCTCCTCCTATCCATCTAACTACTCCTCAGTCTCCCTTGCTAGATTCCCCTTAAACTTTCCCCTATCCTACCTTCCCTGTTATTATAGAGGGCAACACTAGCCTTCCAATCCCTCAGGCTCACAACCTAAGAGTCATCCTGGATTCATCACTAGCTCTCTCACACACCCCATATCCAATATGTCACCAAGACCTGTCAATTTTACCTCTGGAACAACTCTCATATATGTCCCCTTCTCTCCTCTGATACTGCTATCACCCTGGTGTAGGCCTTCATCACCTCATACCTGGACTACTGGAACACTCTGCTAATGGGTTTTCCTGTCTCAAGTCCCTCCTCACTCCATTCCATCCTCCTTTCAGATACCAAACTGATTTTCCTGAAGCTCAGTTCCAACCACGTGACCACCATCCCCTATTCAATAAACTTCAATGGTGCCTTATTACCTCCAATGATCAAATACAAAATATTCTATTTGGCATTCAAAGACCGTCATAACTTAGCCACCTCCTACATTGCCAATCTTCTTATACCTTTCTGCCTACCTCAATTTGATTGAGTGACACTGACCTCCTGGATGTTTCACAAAAAAGACACTCTACCTCTCAGCTCTGGGCATTCTCTGGCCATCCCCCAGGACTAGAATGCTCTCCCTCTTCTGCTTTGACTACTGACCTCTTTGGTTTCCTTTAAGTCCCAACTAAAATCTCATGTTCCATAGAAAGCCTTCCCTAAACTCTCTTAATTTCAGTGTTTCCCCCTAGTTAATTATCTTTTATTTATTCTATATATAGCTTGTTTCTATATATTTGTTTGCTTGTTGACTCGTGTATTAGATTGGGAGCTCCTCGAGAGCAGGAACTGTCTTTTGCCTTTTTGCAGCTCTAGTGCTTAGCAAAGTGCCTAGCGCAGGGCAGGCATTTAATAAATATTTACTGACTGACTGAGATAAAGGTAGGTCTTCAGAATGTTGTATCTCATGCAGGAGTCACAGACTTGACTAGATTGCTTGCCAACTTTCATCCCAGACTATCAAGCTACAGATGGTTCAACTTATCCTGGACTTAACTCCAATTTCTTTCAGAGTTCAAAACCAGGGCAGACCTAGAGCATCATATACAAAAGTCTCTGTTTGACATTTCAATCTCCTTCTAACCTAGACCCCTCTTGTCTTTCCAATCTTCATACCCAACTCCCTTCCACATACCCTTCCACATACTCTGTCTCCAACACTGAGCTCTTTTCCTGGCTGTCCCTGACTCCTGGAATACCTTCTCTTATCTCTCCCGGTGGTTTCCCTCGATTCCTGCAAATCTCATAAAAAAAATCCCACCTTCTGCAAGAAAACTTTCTTAGTCTCCCTCAATTCTAGAATCTTCCATCTATACATAGTTGTTTGCATATTGTTTCCTCTGTTGCATTAGATTGTGAGGGCAGGGACAATTTTTGCCTTTCTTTCTATCTCAAGTACTTAGCATTATGTTTGGTACACAGTAAGCTCTTAATAAATGCTTGTTGTCTAACTGGCTGCTTCACAAAAAACACAGTGAAACAGATTTGAGAGTAAAAACCAGCATGTAACTAGGAATTGCCAAATGGGCGGCAGACAGCAAGACATGAGAATGTATTCCACCATGAACTCTGTCTGTGCCAGACTGGCCTTGTGGATGTAGGCCTGCCCATGTCCCTTTCCATGCCCCTGTTTCTGACCTTTGGATCACAGCTCATGGTTGAGTTGGGATTTCCCTTTGGAACGTTGTTGACAATTCAATTTATGTTGGCTTCTAATTGCTGTGACGACCCTCAACAGACTAATAAAGCTGGCAGATGGCTAGAAGCCCTGCCAGCAGTCTCTGTCCTGGAGTGAAGAGCAGACCACGGCATCAACCCCATGAACTCATCACTGCTGCCAACAAGGAAACCCTTTAAAACTTTACATTTGGGAAACTAGACAAGAAGCAAAGACATTCATGTAAACGAAGGTAAAAAAACAATGCCCAGCACAGATTCCTAATGAGTGAAGATGGATACCAAGGAGCTAAGAAGCAGATATATAATCATGCTTCAGGCAGAGAATAGACGCGGGGCCAGCATGGCTGGAGTCAAGGGATCATCAGTGGTTCTAAGTGAAAGCAGTTAGTCAAAAGTTATTTCTCCCAATCCATTGACTCTGGCCTCTCTGACTGCTTTACTGCCAGAGTATATGATAACACAGCTGTCGCCATAACCAGCAAGACATGGCAACACAGGCCTCTTATTCCAGCCCATCACGCACAACTCAGCCCCAGCCCTTCTTTCAAATTATCCTAGTAATGATGACAGTTTTAAGAATACTGATAACATTTCACATATAAGAAATAAACAGTTTTACCTTAATGAATATCTTATAATTAGTCTCTGATATTTTCCTCATATTTCTTCTGGATCTTTTAGTGAATATTCTGTAGCAAATTTTCTATATGGAATTTTCCATTGAGTTCTGGTCTTTTTGTCACAAATATCTGAAAGTCTTTTAGTCTGTCAAATATCCATTCTTTTCCATTCAGGATTATACTCAACTTTGCTCGGGAAGGTATTCTTGGTTGCAACCCCAGCTCTTTTGCTCTTCGAAATACAATGTTCCAAGACCTAAGTCTTTTAATATAGGACCTACTAGTAAGGCTGAGGCTAGGAGATCTCTTGAGTTCAGGAGCTCTGATCTATAGTGGGCTATGCTGCCTGGGTGTCATTGCTCATTTTGGCATTATTATGATGAGCCCTGAGTGGTTAAGGCAAAGAAGCACCAGGTTGCCTAAGGAGGAATGAACTGGCGCAGGTCTGAAACAGAGCACATCAGAGCTCCTGTGTTTATCAGTGGGATCAGGCCTATGAAAGGACCCTAAATTTCTCAAAAAGAAAAGAAACAAAAAATAAATAAAACTCTTCCATGATCAAGTGGTCCTCCATAATAGCAGCTGCCCCAACGGCTAATTTGTTTCCTAAAGATTCTAGGCACCCAAACACCTGAGAACCGAGCTCTATCAGCACCATGGCCAGTGACCTGCTTTGCCCTTTTGCTGCTGACGCTGGTGCTACCCTTGAGAACATTTTTTTTAAAATCAATTGATTTGGAAATATACATTCATAGACTTCTTATTAAATATGTGCATGATATGAATCTGAGAGGGATAACTGCTACACTGGATGATGTTGGAAGCCAAAAATATTCCAGCAGGTTAAATTGAAATGGATAAGATAAAATCTAATTGTGATGTATAACTACATTCGTATACACTATATTAATTTGTATTATACTATATATACTATAAATAATGTATATTGATATATGTCTGTAATACCCACATACAGCATTAACTTATTTTCTTTAATTGGAAAATAAAGAAGAAAGAAGTTACAGCTAGATAGCAGTTAATGGATTATAAATGCAATATGAGTCAATGGTGTGATATCATAGTCAAAAAGGTTTACATGGTATTGGACTTTATTGACCAATGTATAATTTCCAGGAAAAGGTAGAACATTGTCCCATTATATTTGACTGTTCAGACGATGTCCAGAACATTATATTTTTTAAAAGAACATTGACAAGCTGGAGTATGTCCAGAAAAGGTAAATTAGGACAGTGAAGGAACTCATGTTATATTGGTGAGGAATGTTTGGGGGATGGTTAGCCTGGAGAAGCAATTAGTGGGGGGCTGATTGCTAACTACAAGTATTTAATTGGCTGTCATGTGGAAGAAGAATAGATATTATTCTCTTTGGTTCCGAAGGGAAGCACCAGGGGTAGGGGAGGCATGATAGTGGTGGGGGTCTCATAACAATAATTTAATGACAGAGCTATCTGAAAATGGAATTGTGATAAAGGGAGGTCCCCATTGTAAAAGGCATTTAAGAAAAGACTGGATAGGCTTCTCATCGGTTATGTAGATTTATCTTCAAAGTAGTTCAAAAGATTTATGGGTTGGAGAGGATCTTAAAAATTCTCTTATCTAACTTTTCTACAGATGAGGAAACTGAGGCCCATATGGAGTGACTCGACTAGTGTGACACAAGCAATAAGTATATTCCGAATTGGAGTTAGATTAGACAACTTCTGTGGTCCCTTCTCTTGCAGCTTAGCTTGGCCCCATTTATTTTTTCTGAAGCATATCTGTGATTTCATAATATCCTGGTTATCCCTATTACCAATGCAGATAGGCACTTGTTACGCTACTCACAGAGTCTCCTGAGACAGCAAGAGATTGAATGACTTGCCCAGGGTCACCCAGTCCATACATTTCTAAAGCAGGACTTGGATTCGAGTCTTTCTGACTGAGGCTTGCTCTATCTCCAACCACACACTGCTGGTTATCACATTATTCTACCGGCCTCTCACCAGGTATGTTCCTCTAAATTCTCAACCAAGCCCTGTCACCCAAAGGGTCTCCTTGGGCTCTGGCTGATCATCCAACCAAATTATGGTCTCTCCTAAGGACAATGACTCTCATTTGGTATCCCAGGACCAACTGCTTACCTGCTTCCTTCCTTCAGCAGCGCAACAGCAATTTGGATTCTCTTTCTCAGGAACAAGATGGCGAGGAGAATGCACACTTCCAGGATGCAAAGCATGATCGCTAGAAAAGACCACACATTTGAGGGTGTGACTCCCAAACAGCAGGACTTGGGCTGCTCCCCTACAGCATCAGCTTTAGACTCCTACTTGCAATGGAGCCTCAGCTCAAGAAAATGCTTCACTTCTCTGCAAAAACCAAACCACAACTCAAGAGGCTATTTTCAAAGATGCCAAGAAAGTCTAGCCAGTAGCTAGCCAGCCAGTTGGCTGTGCAGAGATCTCAAGGACCATTCTTCATTTCAGACATAGAAAAATAATCACATAATTTGGAGGAATATTTCTGAGGGGTCCAAGCCTGTGATGTCTTTGGTGTAGAAACTCCCTCCACCAATGCACATTAACAACTCATCTGAAACTTACAGTCTACAAAAGTTGCTTGGGACTCAGAGAGGTTAGGTGAGTTGCCCAGGGTCACACAACCATTGTGGCAGAGGCAATATTGCCTCTGGTTCTTTCCGAGGCTAACGTAAGCTTCTAATTCACTATGCCATTCCGTGTGCCATAAGGACTTCACGTATACGCCAACATGTCCATATTGTTGCCTCTCCCTGATAAATATAAGCTCTTTGAAGGCAAGGACTTTTGAGTTGTAGCTTCATATTCCTAGCATTTAGTAGAGTTCCTGGCCTAGAACACACATGATAATAGCAGCTAATGTTTATGTAGCTCTTTTAATGTTTATAAAATATATTATATACCTCACTTGGTCCTTACAATAACTCTATGATGTAGGTATTATTATTACCACTCCCATTTTCCAAATGAGGAAACTGAAGCTGAGAGAACTTATGTGCCTTGTCCAGGATCACAGGGCTAGTAAACATCTGGGACAGGATTCAAATTCAGGTCTCGCTGACTCCAAATCCAGTGCACTAGGCTACTTAGATGCCATATTTGTTGACTGAGCATTTATTAATCATTCCTATTAATGTGACATTTTAAGGTTTACAAAACACCTCGCATGTTATCTTGTTTAAGCACTTATTAAATGTTGATTTATTGATTGAAAAGAACAAGGTTACTATTAAGAGCAGGCTGTGAGCTTCTGGAGACCAGAGTTGTTTTTTTTTCCTTTTTATTCCCAGTACTTAGCACAAAGCCTGGCACATAGGAAGCACCTAATAAGCGAGTGTGGGCTCAACTACCTGGCATTTATTTATCACTTGAATATTCAAAGTGTTTCACATACCTAATATCACTCAAGAGACTGAAGGTATGCAAGCAAATGGTCAATGGAAATGATCCCTCCCATTTCTATAGTGTTTGATCCTCACAACAAGCCCATGAATAAAAGTATTGGCATCCCCATTTGAGAAATGAAGCAACTGAGCCTCAGAAACTCATTCAATGTCACATCACTACACAATATCAAAGCATAGACTTGATGGCCTGGGTATTTCCGGGTGCCAAGTTGCACTACACCAATAATGGGGAGGGGCAGGGAAGGAAGAAGAATGTCTTCCACAAACCACTCTGGACCACTGTTTCTGCCCATTTCCTCTCTTTTTTTTCCCTAACATTATCACACATTTTGGTTAGTATCTCGAAGATGTGGGAATGTTATGATGCAAATGAAATAAGGTTTTGGTAATTAATCATCCCACTCCATTGCAATGGTCTCCTTCTGGTTAAGTACACATTTTTAATTTCTTGCAAATTTATTCCCTTAAAACACAGAAACCAGTATCAAATGAGAGAATTGAATATGGCCACATTAAAAAGTAGCAAATGCTAGGCTGAAATCACCACTTGCTGATGCTGAGACAACTTGATCATTTAGCTCAAGAAAATGAGATATGTCAGAATCACTTTACCTTCTGGCTTTACATAAATGGTAAATAGCCCACTGGACATTAAAGCTTCTATTCCCTGTGGGATAAGTCATCTACTGAACAATAAAAGTTATCCTTTCTCTCTAAATTGTAATATGATTCAGAGGTTTGGAGCTAGAAGACTTTGAGATCATCTAATTCAGCATTCTCCATTTGCAACCAAGGAAACTGAGGCCCAGAGCTAATATATGACTGGTGCAAGGTCATAGAGCCAGGCATTTATAAATCTAGGATAAGAACTCAGGTCTCCTGACTCTTCCTCCAGTTTTCTTTGTTCCAGAGTACTGTTTTTCTTGTTATAATATAAAAGTGTTATAAGAAGTTTCTTATTATCAGACAAAAGGAGAGACAACATGTTGGAATGGATGGGGAGCTGGCTCCAAAGTAATTAAGACCTGGGTTCAAGTACTGCCCCTGACACATAATGACCAGGTGAATCCCTGGATCTCTCAGTGTTTCAGGCAAATCTAAAACTTTCCATTGTACAGAAGGCACCAATATACATTGGTGGAGGGTACTTCCTCACCTAGAATTTCCTACATCAATGGAACCACAGGCCCCCATTCTAACTCCTAATGTAAAAATGCATTTGCGGGGGCAGCTAGGTGGCACAGTGGATAGAGCACCGGCCCTTGATTCAGGAAGACCTGAGTTCAAATCCAGCCTCAGACACATAACACTTACTAGTTGTGTGACCCTGGGCAAGTCACTTAACCCCACTGCCTAGAACCAAAAAGAAATGTATTTGCCAGATCTTTCAGCAATTGAATGCAGTTCCATAGCAATGTCTTTGAAATTGGGTGAATGAGGTTCTCCTTGATGGAAATGATTTGGGCTAGACTTAATGAAACAAGAATGCTTGTAATGCAAGCATTTCTCTGAGAGTCCTTAGCCCTGCTGATGGCATATCCATCTCATCTCAATGAAAAAATATTTGATTTTAACTGCCTTTTAGGCTGATGCAAGAAACAGCAGTTTTTGTAACACCACACAGAATTCGATGAAAACTGCCAAACCTACTTCTAAACAAAATTTAATTGAGCATATGCATAAATTGCACAATTAAAAAAAGAAATGTGTGCAAAATATTTCCAAAAGGATAATTTTACATGTTATCACTATGGACCATTTACCTTTTAAAATAATATCTTGGTTTTTTTTCAAATTTCATACAAATTTTAACATTCTTTTTTTTAATGTTAAGTTTCAAATTTTCTCTCTCTTTCCTTCCCCTTTCCCCTCCTTGAGAAAACAATTTGATGTTATTTGTGTGTAGTCATGCAAAACATATTACCATATCAGTCATGTTGTAAATAAAAACACCAACCAAAAAGAAAAAAAAAACACAAGAAAATAAAGTAAAAAAATAGTATGCATTGATTTGCATTCAGACTCTATCAGTTCTTTTTCTGGAGGTGGATAGCATTTTTCATTATATGTTTTTGAATTGTCTTGGATCATTATATTGCTGAGATTCACTGAATAATTCATAGTTGACCATCATATAATATTTCTATTACTATTTACAATGTTCTCTTGGTTCGGCTCATTTCATTTTACATCAGTTCACATAAGTTTTCCCAGGTTTTTCCAAAAGCATCTTGTTCATCATCTCTTAGAGCACAATAGTATTCCTTCATAGTTATATACCTCGTTCAGTCATTCCCCAACTGATGGGCATCCTGTCAATTTTCAATTCTTTGCCACAAGTAAAAGAGCGACTATATTTTTGTGCATATAGGACCTTTTCCTTAATTTTTATCTTTTTGGGATACAGACCTAGTAGTAGTATTGATGGGTCAAAGGGGTATGCATGATTTTATAGCCCTTTAGACATAGTTCCAAATTGCTTTCCAGAACAGTTAGATCAGCTGAGAAATCCACCAACAGTGTATTAGTGTCCCATTTTTCCTGCATCACCCCAACAATATTTTCCTTTTTGGTCATATTAGCCAATCTGATAGGTATGAGGTGGTACCTCAGAGTTGTTTTAATTTGCATCTGTCGAATTAATAGTATTTAGAGCATTTTTCATATGACTGTAACTTTGATTTCTTCTTCTGAAAACTACCTGTTCATATTTTTTGACCACTTATCAATTGGGCAATGATTTGTATTTTTATAAGTTTGACTAAGTTCTCTGTGTATTTGAGAAATGAGGCCTTTATCAGATAAACTTGCTGTAAAAATATTTTCTCAGTTATGCTTACTGTATATTTCCCCCATCCTATTTCCCCTGTTTATCCTCTCTTCTCTCCCCACTTCCACCTCCCCTTTCACTTGGCCCTCCTCAAAAGAATTTTGCTTCTGATCACAACTTCTCCCCATCTGCCCTCCTTTTTATCCACACCTCCCCCTTATTCTCTTCCCCTCCTAATTTCCTATAGGGTAAGATAGATTATGTACCCAACTAAAGGTATATGTTATTGCTTCTTTGAGCCAATTCTGATACAAATAAGATTCAAACATCATCCATTACACTACATTTTCCCCTCCACTGTAAGATCTCTTTCATGGCTCTTTTATTTAAGATAATTTACCCCATTCTACCTCTCCCTTTTCACCTCTCCCAGTGCATCTTTCTTTCTCACCCCTTAATTTTATTTTTTAGATATTATAGTCAACCCACACTCATGCCATGTGTGGGGTAGGGGGAGTGTGTATATACATGCATATATATTATATATACACACATGTTGTATATACATATAAGTATGTATGTGCATGTGTATATGTACGTACATACATACATATATGTACTCCTTTTAACTTGTCTAATAACAATAAAGTTCTTAGGAGTTACAAGTATCCTCTTCTTTATTGAATTCCTTGTGGTTTCTCTTTCCTGTTTACCTTTTCTGCATCTCTTGAGTCTTGTATTTGAAAATAGAATTTTCTATTCACCTCCTGCCTTTTCATCAGGAATGCTTGAAAGTCCTCTGTTTCATTAAATGTTTATGTGTTCTCCCTGAAGTATTATTGTTTTTCTGGGTAAGTGATTCTTGGTTTTAATCTTAGCTCCTTTGTCCTCCAAAATATCATATTCCAAGCCCTCCAGTCTTTTAATGTAGAAGCTCCTAAATCTTGTGTTATCCTAACTGTGGCTCCATGATATTTGAATTGTTTCTTTCTGGCTGCTTGCAATGTTTTCTTCTTACCTGGGAGCTCTGGAATTTGACCATGATATTCCTGGGAGTTTTCATTTTGGGATCTCTTTCAGGTGCTGATGGATGAATTCTCTCCATTTCTATTTTACTCTCTGGTTCTAGAACATTGGGGTAGTTTTCCTTGATAATCTCTTGAAATACAACATCTGGGATATTTTTTGATCATGGTTTTCAGGTATTTCAGTAATTCTTAAATTATCTCTCCCCAAGCTATTTTCCAGGTTAGTTGATTTTCTCTTTCTCTCTTTCTTTCTCTCTTTCTCTCTTTCTCTCTTCCTTCCTTCCTTCCTTCCCTTCCTTCCTTCCTTCCTTCTTTCCTTCCTTCCTTCCTTCCTTCCTTCCTTCCTTCCTTCCTTCCTTCCTTCCTTCCTTCCTTCCTTCCTTCCTTCCTTTCTTTCTTTCTTCTTTGGAGGTAATCAGTTAAGTGACTTGTCCAAGGTTGCACAGATACTAAGTGTTTGAGGCTGGACTTGAACTCTGGTCCTCCTGACTTCAGGGCCAGTTCTTTATCCACTGTGCCATCTACCTGTCCCTCAGGTCAGTTGTTTTCCAATGAGGTTTTTCACATTTTCTTCTTTTTTTTCTTCTTTTGATATTGTTTGATTGTTTCTTATGTCTCATGAATTCATTAGCTTCCCCTTGCCCAATTCTAATTTTTAAGGAATTATTTTCTTCAGTGAGCTTTTGTATCTTCTTTTCCTTTTGGCCAATTCTGTTTTAAAGAAGTTCTTCCCTTCAGTGGATTTTTGCACTTCTTTTTACCATTTGGTTTATTCTGTTTTTAAGGTATTATTTTCTTTTGTATTTTTGTACCTTTTATTTTTTTTTTACCAAGATGTTGGCTATCTTTTCATAATTTTCTTGCATCATTCTCACTTTTTTTTCAATTTTTCCTCTACATCTCTTATTTGATTTTTAAAAACCTTTTTGAGCTCTTCCAGGAATTATTTTTTTTGGGGGCAGGGGGAAGGGGACTGAGACCAATTCATACTTTTCTTTGAGACTTGGATGTAGCTGTTTTGACTTTGTTTGCTTCTTCTGAGTTTGTATTTTAATCTTACCAGCCATCATAATATCTTTCTATGGTCAGGTTATTTTTTTGTTGCTGGTTGCTCATTTTTTTCCAGATTATTTCTTGACTTTGACTTTGATGCTAAATTTGGGCTCTGCTTCTGGGGTAAAGGGGGCACTGTCCCAAACTTTGGGTTTTTCAAACTGCTGCATTGCGAACTAGTTCTGGGGGTTTGTAAGTTTTCAATTCTTCCAAGGTGGCATGATCTCAGCAGAGGTGTGGTCACTGCTCTCCTGGCTTGTGCTCTGCTTGGTGAGTGACCACAAGCATTATTTTCCACCCTAGAACTGTGATCAGGTTCCTCACTCCCGTTAGTGTTCCTCTTCACCCTGAGTCTATGACCTGGAACTGAGGATGGGCAATGCAACAGATTGCTGCAGCCAATGCCAGCAAAGGGTTTCCTATAATCTCCTTCTGACCAGTCGTCCTATCACCTTAATGTCTAGAGCTAAGAGCTCCAGAAGCTGCTGCTGCCAAGTCAGTCCCCTCGAAGTCCTGCTGGTGGCTTGCTGGGGCACGGCCTGCACTGGATTGAGCTCCACTCTCACCCCAGTGAGACAGACATTTCCTGCCAATCTTATACATTGTCTTGGGCTGGAAAAATTGTTTCAGCCTGTTCTTCTGTTAGTTCTGCTGCTCCAGAATTCACTTTGAGGCACTGTTTTAAAGTTGTTTGGAGGGGAATTTTGAAGAGCTCAGGCAGTCCCTGCCTTTACTCTGCTATCTTCCATTTAACTTTGTAAAAAGTATTTTTCTCCAGTTCTATAATTTTAATAAACATTGGAATATGCAAAATTAACTCTGGTTACATATTACCTCTGAATTCTACAATGAAAAATTTGAAATAACATTTGGTCACAAAAGGGTTATATTAATTAATATGTAATTAATAATAATTAAAATATTAAATTAATAATAATTGAATTAATAATTCAATTAATTCTTTTTTTCCATCAAGGTAGGGGATTTTGACACCCAATTCATTAAAAATTCCTTGCATGAATATCAGGTGAATTATGATGAGATTTTCGTATCCAAACCCTTTCAAAGTCATTTACAAAGTCTGTGGCCATTTAAAATATAGCATTGTCTTCCATTTTAAATCAATTTCACTTCAATGACTTTCATTTATTAAGCTAACTTCATTTCATTTGAGGGGGAAGGAGTATTATTGTAACCATGTTTAATCCTGTTAACACTCAAAAGCAGAGGCACATCACGGGGTACTAGATAGAAAGCTGGCATCAAAAATGAAAGAAGGGGCATCTAGGTGGCACAGTGGATAGTGTACTGACCCTGGAGTCAGGAAGACCTGAGTTCAAATCTGACTTCAGACACATAACACTCACTAGCTGTGTGACTCTGGGCAAGTCACTTAACCCCACTTGCCTAACAAAAAAGGGAAAGAAAAACCTTGGTTCAAGTCCTGATTCTAACCCATACCAGTTGTCTGACCTTGGACAATTTACTATCTCTCAATGTCCTAGAAAATTCTTAAGATGGAGGTTCTTTACCTATTTTATTTCATAGAACCCTTTGACAGTTTAATTAAGCCTATGGACCCCTTCTCAGAATAATGCTTTTAAATGCATAAAATAAAATATGTAGGATTCAAAAGGAAGTCAATTATTTTGAAATACAGTCTCCCTCTCTATAGTTTATATGTGTTCTATGTGTATGCATGTATATATGTATTTGTGTGTATATATGCATACATACTTCATACACATAGATCCTATATATAGGATCTATATTCAAAGACCCCAAGGTTAAGAACCTCTGTCCTAAGGCTGCAGGTTGCAAAGAAAGTGCTGATTGAATTAACAGGGAAAGTTCTTTATGTGGTTGGTGCACCCTACATAGATGAAAACCCAATTTGAGTGAGGAAGAAGGGGGATGGGTGAGACTAGATGAGGAGGGAGAGAAAAGAAGAGAGAATGGAAGCAGAGGGAGAAAATTTTATAACCACGAGATCATATAATGTGAAAGCTGGAAGAAACTAGAAAGCAAATTGAGTTCAGGTCCTCATTTTATAAGTGAAGAAGCTAAATTCCAGCAAGCTTGACTTTCTCAGGGTCTTGTGACCTCTGACTGACAGGATCCTGAGAACTTTGACAAAGATGCATCAGAGATGTTAGGGACACACTGGCTGCTGCTATTATGTGTTATCCTTGTCCAGTGTCCTTGCCAAGGGTGTTCTCTGGTCCTATGACCTCAGGCAGCTTGCAGCCCAACTTGACGCATGACTTAGTGTATCTTTAACAAAGATTTGAAAAGTCACTTACTAAATGCTAACCAGGTTTGCCGCAGTTGCAAGTACACTCTCAAATCAGAATGAAAGCCAATCTCATAGAAAGTGTCTCCGGTTCCAGGTTTTGACAGAAGACGTTTATACTCGCGGTAACAGATCCATATTCCTTTAAAAAATAATTACAGCCAATAAGCCAAGAATTTTCTAGAATACCAAAAAGGGCAATGCTATTCTCATGAAAGTTTTCTATATATTCCTTCATGGGCCAAATTTTTATTTCTACATTATATACTTTATTTGAAACTAATAGGCCAAAAAAAAAAGAAACTAATAGGCCAAGTGCTCTATGACATTTCGATTAGATATTTCTACCTATTGGCTATTTTTCAGGACACTCCTGTCCCTCATCACTGCTCCATCATGGTACTAGGTATTTCTACTCAATGGATATTTTTTCAGGACCCTCCTTCACTGATTCATCATGGTCCAACCATGAACAATGTACTTTTAAAACTTCATCATGGGGGTGGGGAGAGAGGGAGGCAGGAGGAATACCTCATACTTGCATCTTTATAATGGAAATATTGAATAAAATGCATCTTCACCCCCAAATTTGGGGCTTTTGACTTTCTGTACAGCTTACTGCAAATTAGAGAGAAAGTCAACACTGTTCCACGAAGGTCTAGTTTTCATAGTGAACAAGTGATTTTGGTTTCTGGTTCATGAGCAGACATGAGTTTTAAAATCCTGAAGTGTAGACTAGTGGGAACCCCTTTTCCAGGTGGGAAGACAGAAGTGGAAAGACAGAACAGCTGGACTGAATTGAAACATGCAAATCTGGTGCTGGAGGCAAACAACATAGCAGGGGCCATTATGAAAAGCTGCCACCAATCACTATTTTAAGATACATTCAAATGTAGGAATGGGGGGCTCCGGGAGAAACCTTGGATCTCAGGACAGAAGGCCTTGTACATAATAGGTACTTAATAATTACTCTCTCCTTTCCTATGAAAATTACATGGCCTTTTTTGGTATATACATTTTTATGCACATGTTCTCTTCCTGATGAGGATATAACTTCCTTGAGGACAGGTATCATTTCTTTTTGTCTTTGTAACCCTAGGACTTAGTAGTCAGTCAGTCAGTCAGTCAATAAATGCACCTACTATCCCAGGGCCTGGACCATGGGAAATGCTTTTCCAAAATGCTTGTTAATTGATTTCTTGATTGTGATACTCTGATTACAGTTGGCTATGTGGAGGCTCCAAACTCCCTACTAAGTAGCTTAGGAAATATTTGAGAATTTTGGTATTTTCTAAGTTAGAAACCCCTCATGGATCACAACTGAAGAAGTTGTAAACAAAATGAGCTGAGTTTCTTTTAGCTGCCACCCCCGCCCTTTTCGCTATTCTTTCCTTATGAAGCATAATCATTCATGCTTCCACCAGTATTACTCTGTGCTCAATGATGCTAGCAAATAAAGGGAAAAGACAGGACTTCTGAACTTTTTAGAGCAGGACTTCTGAACTTTTTCCACGTCCTGGATCCCCTTCGGCCATCGGGTGAAGCCTTAGCCCTTCTCATGATAATGCTGACAACTGCATAAAATAAAGAGTGCAGAGGATGACAAGGGGAGCCAAAGGTTAGTAAAAATAAAAATGTTGCTTTCCCAGGACCCCCAAATCTATCCAGGGACCCCCTGAAATCTATCCACAGCCCCAGATCCTCAAAAGCTCTGGTTCTGAGACTTGTTATAAGAGTGGATAGATACCTACCATATAATATAACGATGACCACACCAAACACAAAGAACCACAAGATTGTGCCAGCAGTATATTTCAGGAACCACAGGAACACCAAGCTACTGATCATTGCAAGGAATAGCCCACTGAAAGGGAGAGAAATACAAACATAAGGATTAAATATGTCTGGGAAAGAGCCTGTGAAAACACCCACTGCTCAGTCTCAGAAAACTTACCTACCAACAATGTATCCTATAAAAATAAAAGATGCAATAAAGACAAAACAGGTGTTTCTGATTCACAGCCACAAGGACCTAGCTTCCTCAGCCTGATCCTGAGAAACGCCACAGGGCACCTGAGGTTCTAGTAGGAGCTGGTGCGCTTGGCCCAGCAGTGCAGCCTGATCACCAGTTACCCACAGACCAATCCTTCTTACTCTAGAGTAAATAAGCACTTATCACAAATGATTAGTGAAACATATATAATCAACTCCAGGAAATTTCCATTGTGCTTAATAGTTATACCTTCTAGAATCTGAGCCATTCTAGCTGCAATGGCCTCAATGCATGGAGCAAATACCCTGCTCATCTTCATGTTCCACCTCCTAGAGGATGCTTTTTCTGGTCCTCCCAGCAGCTAGGCCCACCCATCCTCACCCCCCCAATATACTTTCCATATATTTTGTATTTAATTCTTTTTTAAAAGTCCAATTTTATTTTATTTTCAATTCCAAATTCTCTCCTATCTATACCCCAACAATTGAGAGGACAAGAAAAACCCATTACAAATATATATGTATAGTCATAGAAACCAAATTCCTGCTTTAGCCACCTCCAAAAATAGAAATAAAAGAGGAAAGGTCAGGAGATGCCTCAATTTGCACAATGAGTTCCTCATCTCTCTCTTTCAAAGTAGGTAGTATGTTTCGTCATGAATTCTCTGGAACGATGATTTGTCATTGAGTTGATCAAAGTTTCTAAGTCTTTAAGAGTTCTCATTACTATATTGTCATTATTATTATCCTATAAACTGTTTCCCTATTTCTGCTCATTTCAGTTTGCATCAGTTCACATAAGCCTTCCCAGATTTAAAAAAAAAATTCCCTTCATCATCTCTTACAGCACTATAGTATTTCATCACATTCATATGCCATGAGTTGTTCAACCATACCCCAATTGATGAGAATCTCCTTAGTTTCCAATTCTTTTCCACTACAAAAAGAGCTGTTATAAATATTTTTGTACATGTTGGTCTTTTTCCTCTTTGTTCGCTTTAAGGTATAGACCTAGTAGCAGTATTCCTGGGTCAAAAGGTATGCACAGTTTAAAGCTTTTGGATATAGTTCCAAATTATATTGCAATGGTTGAACCAGTTCACAATTCCATAATAAGAACATTAAATGATTTGTATAGCCCTTTGAGCATAATTCCAAATTGCTCTCCAAAATGGCTGGATCAATTAAAAGTTCCACCAACAATGCATCAGGGTCCCTATTTTCCGCTCATCCTCTCCAACATTTGCCACTTTCCTTTTCCGTCATATTAGCCAATCTGATAAGTATGATGTGGTACTTTAGAGTTCTTTTAATTTGCATTTCTCTAATCAATATTGACAGAGCATTTTTATATGATTATAGATAGTTTTGATTTCTTCTTCTGAAAAATGTCTGTTCTTATCTTTTGACCATTTATCAGTTGAGGAATGACTTTACTTCTTATAAATTTCACTTTGCTCTCTATATATTTGAGAAATGAAACCTTTATCAGAGAAATTTGCTGTTAAATTTTTCCCAGTTTCCTGCTTTCCTTGGCTGCATTGGTTTTGTTTATGCAAACCCTTTTTAATTTGTTGTAATCAAAATTATCCACTTTACATCCCATGATCTTCTCTATCTCTTGTTTGATCATAAATTCTTCCATTATCCATTGATTTGATGTAAAAATTTCCATGCTCCCCTAATTGCCTTATCTTTATTTTTTTTGTCTAAATGATGTACCCATTCTGACCTTATCTTGGTATACAGTGTGAAATGCCAGTCTATACACATTTTATGCCTAACTGCTTTCCAGTATTGCCAGGAATTTTCATCAAATAGTGATTTCTTGTCCCAATATCTTGGATCTTTGGATTTGTCAAATACTAAATTAGTATAGTCATTTACTACTGCTTATTATGTATCTAATCTATTCCATTGATCCCCACTCTTTTTCTTAGCCAATACCCGATTGTTTTGATGATTATTGTTTTGTAATACAGTTTGATATCTGGTACTGCTAAGTGACCTTCCTTCATATTTTTTCATTGATTCCCTTGGTATTCTTGACCTCTTATTCTTCCAGATGAATTTTATTTTATTTCAAGCTTTATAATATAATTATTTAGTAAATTTTATTGCTATGGCACTGAATAATTAATTTAGGTTGAATTGTCATATTTATTATATTGGCTTAGTCTACCTATGAGCAATTAATTTTAGATGTGACTTTATTTGTGCAAAAAAAATTTTGTAATTATGTTCATATAATATCTAGGTTTCTCTTGGCAGGTAGAGTTTCAAGTATTTTATATCATCTGAAACTACTTCAAATGAAATTTCTCTAGCTCTTCTTGCTGGATATTGTTGATAATGTATAGAAATGCTGATGATTTATGTGGATTTATTCTATGACCTGCAACTTTGCTAAAGTTCTTATTTCAACTAGTTTTTTAGTCAATTCTATAAGCATATCATCATTAGCATTTGCAAAGAGGGAGTTTTCTTTCCTCATTGCCTATTATAATTCTTTCAATTTCTTTTTCTTCTCTTATTGCTATAGTTGGTATTTCTATTACAATATTGAATAATAGTGGTAATAATGGGCATCCTAACTTCACTCCTGATCTTAGGGGGAAGGCTTCTAGCTTATTCTCATAACAGATAATGCTTGCTGATGATTTTAGATAGATACTACCTATCATTTTCAGGAAAGCTCCATTAATTCTCATGCTTTTTAGGGATTTTAGTAAGAATGATTGTTGTATATTGTCAAAAGTTTTTTTCTGTGTTTATAAAATAATCATATGATTTGTGTTGGCTTTGTTATTGATATGGTTAATTATGCTGATAATTTTTGTAATATTGAACCAGCTCTGCATTCCTGGTATAACTCTTACCTGGTCATAGTGTATGATTTTTGTGACATATTGCTGTAATCTCCTTGCTAGTATTTTATTTAAATTTTTGCATCAATATTCATTAGGGAAATTAGTTTATTGGTTTTTCTTATCTTTTTTTTTGCTCTTCCTGGTTTTGGTATCAGCATCATAGTTGTGTCATAAAAGAAGTTTGGTAGGACTTCTTCCTTGACTATTTTTCCAAATAGTTTATATAGTACTGGAATTAATTATTCTTTAAATGTTTGGTAGAATTCACTTGTGAATTCTTCTAGTCCTGGGGAATTTTTTTCTTAGGGAACTCATTTATGGTTTGTTTAATTTCTTTTTCTGAGATATGGTTATTTAAGTATTCTCTTTCTTCTGCTAATCTTGGCAATTTGTATTTTTGTAAATATTCATCCATTTCACTTAGATTATTGGGTTTATTGGTATATAATTGGGCAAAATAATAATTGCTTTCTTTATCTTCAATGGTGGTGAATTAACTTTTTTTCATTTTTGATAATGGTAATTAGGTTTTGTGACAATTAAAAAGTTTGAGACACATAGTTTCTCAGTAATTTAATAATTTTATTAATAAGGCCAGTAGGTTATTAATAATAGAATGGTCATTTGGCCATCTCTCTTAAACCAAACACCCCTGCAATGGTGGTGGGTTTACAGGTTATATGCCCTTCAAAGATGAGGCATTCCTGAGGGATGCCTAATCATTTCTAATTGGCTAATCAAATGGGAGGAACATATCTTTGGGTACGTGAATTAGGTCACTCAAATCTTGATCAAAGAGACATCAAATTCCACAAAACCTGTCTTGATAATAAGGAGAATCAACCTTTCGCCAGACCTGTCTGAACAAACATAATGAGCAGGAATACACCCATTAGCCCATACTTAGAATTTATTTTACTGTGTAATTAGATCTTGGCCTCGGTAAATCTTTAATAGAGATTTCCCACACTGGTTGATTTCAGGATGAGGAAGTAGAAAAGGGGGAAAACTTTGGTCCTGATATAATGATTAGTTATTAAAAAAGAGATACTCATTTGTCACAGTTTTCTTCTTTCTTTTTTTTAAAAAAATCAAATTAACCAATGATTTATCCATTTTATTGTTTTTTTCTCATAAAATAAAATTCCTAGTTTTATTTATTAGCTGAATGGTTTTCTTACTTTCAATTTTATTAATCTCTCCTTTGATTTTCAGGATTTCCTATTTAATGTTTAATTGAGGGTTTTTAATTTATTTTTTTGCTCTTTTTCTATTTTATTGATACAAGCATTTAGAAATAAAAAAAATTTCCCTTACAAATTGCTTCAAATGTATCCCATAAATTTTGGTATGTTTTCTCATTGTTATCACTTTTTAATGAAATTATTTATTTTTTTATTTGTTCTCAGACCCACTCTTTAAGATAAGATTGTTTAGCTTCCAATTAATTTTTAATCTACATTTGCATAGACCCTTAACTGAATATAATTTTATTGCATGAGAGTCTAAAAAGGATGCATTTAATATTTCTGCTTTTCTGCATTTGGTTATGAGGCTATTATGACTTAATAGATGGTCAATTTTTGTGAAGGTAATAGGTACAGCTGAGAAAAAGATATACTCCATTCTATTCCCATCCCATTTTCTCTAGAGGTCCATCATATCTCTTTTCTAATTCTATTTCATTTCCTTAACTTCTTTCTTCTTTATTTTATGGGTAGATTTATCTATTTCTGAAAGTAAAAGTTGAGGTCCCTTATGAGTATAGTTTTACTATTTCCTTCTATAACTCATTTGACTTTTCCTGTGAGAATTTGAATGTTATGCCATTTGGCACATATATGTTTAGTATTGATATTACTTCATTGTCTATAGTACCTTTTAGCAAAGTATAGTTTTCCAGCTTATCGCTTTTAATTAGGTCAATTTGTTTTGGTTTTGCTTCATCTGAGATCTTAATTGTTACCCCTGCTTTTTTTTAACCTCAGCTGAAGCACAATGG